CCCCGATAATGAACATCATTTTGAAAAGTACTGTTCCATACTGTTCCAATATTTCTATCACAGCTCTATCTTCTACAGCAGAAAAAGTTGTCAAATCAGAGTTTAGAAACCAGCAAAGGCAATTTCCGATTTAGTTTTTAAATTTGTACCCTACTTAGACTAAGTTGAAAGTTGTTAAAAATCGGTCAAACCCTTCACGGAGTCACGAAACTTCTCACAAAGATTATCCAAAATTAATTATTTAAGTACGCAGATGAACCCAATTGATCCCCACGAATTGTATGTAATCCAATTTGGCGTCGCAACAGTGGTTTAGAATTTCATTTTCCTGACAGAAAAAGTTCCTCCCTATAGAAGATTAATCTTCCTACGAAATGGTTTGAAAAGTCGTAGTTGAAATTTGCAATAGGCACTAGCTCTACAGCTAGAGGGATTTTTGTTCAGTATGTCCATGATTTTAGCCAAATTTTTCAACGGATTTTTTCGAAGTTGCAATAGCTTCTAAAAGGCATAAAAAAGGGCAGGGTCGACTTTATATTTAGTAGACGACCCATAAGAAAAGAAAAATGTCCGGTGAATAATAATAAACGTCAAAATACCGATTATAGGGAGGTACCATTATATGGGAGATATACGAAGGCCTGTTCCTGTATATGCAATTCCATTCGGAACTTCAAATATGAAATTTAATACAATTTCGGTAAATAATAACGCCAAAATTACTAAAATATCGAATTTAGGGAAGCGCCGTTATATGGAGGATATACGAAGACGTGGACCTGCATACGTTATTTTCTGTCATCGGCTATGGTATATATTGGGAACTGCGAATACGAAATTTGAAAAAAACCCAGTGAATAATGTTGCATGCCTTCATATGGCGGCTATACCAACACGTGGACCTTTACAGCTCATTTTTATACCCTCCACCATACATAGTATGGAGGGTATGTTAGCCCTGTCCGTCCGTCTGCTGTAATCACGCTACAAGCTAGACGAATTAAGATAGAAAAATTTTGCTCAGATCTCTCTTTTATCTGCAGGCAGGTCAAGTTCGAAGATGGGCTATATCGGTCCACGATATCGTATAGCCCCCATATCCGGTATTTTGATGATTTTAGCCACATTTTTCAATGGAATTGTATGAAAATCCACACAAGCAGTTCTCTGAGAGCACTTTATCTCTTGGCAGAGAATTATCTATATAGGTCCACCATATCGTATAGCCCCCATATAACGGTACCCCTCGATATTCTCTATTTTGATGATTTTAGCCACATTTTTTAATAGAATAGTCTGAAAATCCACACGAGGAGTTCTTTGTGGGCACTTTACCTCCTGAAAGAGAATTGTTTATAAAGGTCCACGATGTCGTATGTCCCCCATAACGGTACCCTCCGATATTCGGTATTTCGTTGATTTTAGCCTCATTTTTCGACGGAATTGTCTAAAATTCTACACAAGGGGTTCCTTGTGAGCACTTTACCCCCTGAAAAGGAATTGTCTCTATGGGTCCAAAATATCGTATAAACCCCATAAAACGGTATCCCCCGATATTCGGGATTTTGACGATTTTAGCCAAATTTTCCAATGGAATGGTCTAAAAATCCGCACAACGAGTCCCTTGTGAGTAATTTATTCATTGAAAGAGAATTATCTATATAGGTCCACAATATCGTTTATTCCCCCATATATCGACACCTTCCGAGATTTTAACAGAATTGTTAATGGATTTTTTTTTTTTTTTTTTTTTTTTTGAAAATGTCCCAATTCGTTCCAAATGGTGGAGGGTATTCAAAGTTCGGCCCGGCCGAACTTACTGCTTTTTTACTTTTTAATACCAAAATTCCTGCATACTAAACACAAATCTGAGTAAAATGTTATCAACCTATTTCAATTCGTTCAGAAGCAAGAGTGATTTCCACAGAGGGACAGATATCGCTAAATCGACATAGAATTTTATGTTGACAAACCACAAAAAGGAACTATTTTCGGAGCAGAAAATATGTTTATTTGATTGGGTTATTTGTTTGATTGAACGAAATTGCTTGAACACCACGAGATATTGGTTCTAGACCTACTATTTTGCTCTGTGTGTTCCTCCATACTATTCTGTCCATGTTAATTTTTAATCACTCTACAAGAGGCAATTATAGCCCTATTTAGCATGGAGTGGGAGCCAATTGTTTTTGAAGCAGGGTATTAGAATTTAGGATAGGGCTGTCATTTGGATGGTTGTCGGATCATATTAAGCGGGTGAAATGGATGGTAAAATATTCCAACATTTCCGATCAACAGTAAATATCTTTAATATTGAAAGCTTCTTCCCTGTAATCCCCAAATTTTTTATTTAGGTCTCTCTTGGTGTCTGTTGTTAAGATATGCAGGTGGTTTTGGAAATTCGTCCTATATTTTTACAAAAACTACTAAACGATACTTAATTTGGTTTTGGGTGAAGGAACAAGGCAGGAAACCCGAAATCTGTTATTATACCCTCCACCTTGGAAAGTAGGGTATATTAACTTTGTCATTCCGTTTGTAACATCCCTAATAGACCCCATAATGTATATATATTCATAATCAATTTAAAATTCTAAGTCGATTTAATGATGTCCGTCTGTCAGTTGAAATCACGATATTATTATTTGAAGAAGAGCGTCAATATTTAGCAGAATAATGTGAATTGTCTCTAGGATGGTTGGTATTGAAAATGAGATATATCGGTTCACGTTTTGGTATAGTCCCCTTTTGATGATTTTTGTCACATTTTTTCATGGATTTGTCTAAAAATTGGTAGTTTTTGGTCATAATGGGTTCTAGCTCGTGTGACGAAGTATTGTATGTTTAGGTCCACGCTTTGGTATAGCCCCCATATAACGGTACCTCCCCATATTCGATATTTTGATGATTTTTGCCATATTTATTCACGGATTTGTCTGAGAATTGGTTTTTGTAGGTCATAATGGGTCCTAGTTCGTGTGGCGAATCATTGTATGTATAGGTCCACGTTTTGGTATAGCTCCCATATAACGGTACCTCCCGATATTCGGTATTTTGATGATTTTTGCCATATTCTTTCATCGATTTATCTAAAAATTGGAATTAGTTTGTCATTATAAGTTCTAGCTCCGTTGGCGAAACATGTGTAGGTCCACGATTTGGTAAAGCCCCCATATAACAGTACCTCCCGATATTCGGCATTTTTGCCACATTTCTTTTAATGTTTCCTTTACCTTAAGGTGGAGGGTATTAAAAGTTTGGCCCGGTCGAACTTAATGTTTTTTTTACTTGTTTTGCTTGTTTAAGTTTCAGTTGGTGTCTGTGCTTAAGATCTGGAGGTGGTTTTGGAAGTGCGTCTATATTTGTACGAATATTACTTAAAGATACAAAATTTAGTATTTAGTGAAGGAATAAGGCTGGAATCAAGAAAATTTGTTATTTAGGGGTCCGTTGTTGTCTGTTTTTAAGATATGCAGGTGGTTTTGGAAATGCGTCCTATATTTGTACAAAAACTACTAAATGATACTAAAATTGGTATTAGGTGAAAGAATAAGGCTGGAATCACGAAATCTGTTATTTAGGTCTCATTGGGGACCTTGATACGAGTTCAGGATAGGACAGATTTCTATCAATTTGGATGGTCATCGGATAATTGTTAACGGCGGAAATAGACCATAGCTTTAATGTAAACAAATCGTGAATATTAAAAAATCAAAAACGCACATAAAGGTCCGTTATATTGACCCAAGATATCACATTTATAGCAAAATAACTTAGATCACCAGGGAACATGGAAAATATCGACCCCTAAATCGTCGTTCCTCGCCAAGAAAGGTATTTTTTTTTTGCATGAGAATACGTTTTTTATTTATACATTTGTACTGCAAGCCAAAAATTATTTTTTCCCATAAATAAATTCAGAAAATTTGAAATTTGGATTTATTGTTTCCAATGATTGATGTAAGGTATAACTCCGAATACTAAAATTTCGGCATCTATGGATACATTATTTTAAGTGTTACTTTTCAATTTTATTTTGTGGTAGTTAGGTATACTGGTGCTAAAATGTACCTTGTAGACTTATTATTCGGTAATGAGATTTTTTATTGGACATGATCAATTTCCAACTACAATAAAGTCTGTTTCTGTTGGAAAATATATGTATTTCTTCGTTCGCCAACGCCCAGTAGCGAACTCCCAAATTCGGATTTGTAGTAGGACACTCACAAGTTATGCCGTCGTTTTCCTATCCTATAATATCATTTTATACGGTCAAAACGTGCCTACTCGAAATAACGGTTTTAGACCCTGGGTCTCTTTGGACCAAATCCGTTTCAGGGCAGTTGGAGTCGATGTAGCGATGTCTGTCCGTATGTATGTTTGGCTGGCTGGCGCACTACAACTCTCGAAAGGATTATATGATTTGATCCAAACTAAGTACATCGTAATATTATTGTCAAAATTAGATCGACTTCGGAGATGGACAATATCAGTACACTCGTTCGGGTACCTCCCATTCAAAATGTCAAAATTTTTAAAGAAAATAATTTACTGCACAGAAAGAGACACGATGATCCGATTTTGCTCAAATTTTATAATATTTATTTTCATTAATCCAAGGTCTGGTGTGAAGATGAAATATATCAGTCCACTCCTTCTGGTACCTCCCCCACAAAGGTTCAAAATTTTGAATATTCGTGAAGCTCATAAAACACGAAAATAACATTCGATTCAAAATTGGCACTTCTCAATATTTCCATCAATACAAGATCTGTTATAAAGATGGACATTTGGCTCGGACCATTCCTTCTGGTACTTCCCCCACAAAGGGTCAAAGTTTTAAATAATCAACACGATCATAAAATCCAAAAAAAGCACCCAGTTCTCTTCAAATTGCACACATATAAAATTGGGGCGCTTACATGTTTTGGATACTCACCCAAAAATCTCCAATTTAATTCAATATCTCAAGTTAAATTTTAATTTTTTGTTTTGATTTAGTGTTTATTGAAATTAATATTTATTTTGTTTTAAATATTTTAAAATATATTTAATTACATGATAGATTTAAATAATTATATAGTTTTTTGTTTTTATTTTCTGCTTATATTTGGAAATGAATTTACATTTGAAATATACAGTACTTATAGTGTTGGTGTGTGTGTAATGTAATTTAAATATTTATTTTTATTCACTTTTTTTTTAATTTTTTGGACAAACATATTTAATACGTATTACTATTATTTATTATATTAAATAGACATTTTGTTTTAACACCATGCGTGTGTGTGTCTGGGTGAGTGACAATAATAAATAATTGCAATTATAAATAATTATTTAATTCCATTTTACAATGTTTAGTTTATTGTTTTTATTTTAATTTGTTTATTTATCATTTGTTTTTAAATCTTATAATGCTTAACTAACATCACGAGCTTTTATTTCAGTTTTCTTTTTCTTTTTTTGCAAAATGATTTTTTTCTCAAAGAGAAAAAAATTGGGAATTTAAAAAATTTTGAAGTGATAGAATATAAAATTCATAATATGTTTTTGAAGATGATTTAAATGGACTAATGTCAAATGTAAACGATTGTTTTATACCTTACACCACTTACCGATATTGAAATCTTCCGTTTAAAACTTCATTTTATGCCCTCAGACAAAAATTGATGTAAGGTACACCTTTTAAATTTTGAAAATAATATTTAATATTTCTGAAAAAAAATATTTATTTTTTTTTTGAAAATAATTTTAAAAATTTTTAAAAGCAAATATCTAAAATTATGAAATTTACTTCTTATAGCCCTCCATACCACCACCACCATTGCCGGACTATGGATGTGACGAACCCATACGCGGTCCATACAGGGAATATGGTGAGAAATATTGTGCCAATGCTGGATGCTGTTGCATTTGCAGACTGGCCAGAGAACCGGGTGGAGCGGCAGCAGCGGCGGCGGCCAACGATGGTGGCAGCATGGACGGTTTTCCATACGGATGATAGCGGGCTGCTGACAGTGGACTGAGAGGCGGTGTGGGATATGTTCGTTGAAATAGCGGATGATTGGGCGGAATGCCACCTTGGGCGGCAGCGGTTAACACCGATTCGGGTAGGGAAGCCGTGTGGGTACGTAAATGTTGAAACAACTCATCGGAGGTGGCAAAACGTTTGCCACAATACGGTGTATCGCCACCGATCCATGAACAAACGTAAGGCATTTGTGATGCTGCCGCCAGGGCGGCAAGCTGGGCATGATACGAGGAGGCTGCTGCGGCGGCGGCGGCAGATGAACCACTTTTTCCCTCTCTTTCACACTGGGGACAACCGGCCGGGCATGGTTGGCCCGCGGCCTTATTCAGAAAATGAGGACTTGAGGGACAGCCTGTGCAATAGGGATCTCGACAGATGTTCGGTTGCATTTCCAAACCTTTCAGCCGGGCATAGTTGAGATAGGGATTCAGTGAGGCAGCCTTAAACATGGGATGATGTGGTGACATCAATGCACTGGCCGTCATAAGGTCCATGGGATAGGGCATGCTCGAGGGATAGCCGGGATAGTATGCAGCAGATGCAGAAGATGCGGAGCCACCACTGGCAGCAGCTGCTGCCTGTAAAGCTTTCATATAGCTGGCCTCCTTGGAGGCTTGGGCCAAGGCAGCTGCCTCATTGGAGGCCTGCAGACGGGCTGATGTTGCTGCCGCCGAACTCTGTTGTGATGGACTAGATGTTGTTGTTGCTGTCGTACTGTGAGAGGTCTCCAGAGAACCTCCATTAAGATTTAGCTCTTTGGTTTTGTGTTGTTGTTGTGGGTGGTGATGGGCTGGACTATTTAATGCACGTTGCTGTTGTTGCAGATCCTGTTGCAAACTATTCACCGAGGAGGGGGTACGCCTCAATGACCCTCCCCCGCCACCACCTCCACCACCATTAATTGCAGGCGATTCTCCTCGTTGTGAGGAGGCACTCTGATTGGAATCACAACGGCCATTAGTGCTGCCATTGTTGCTAATTTTCGGTGTCTTCACCCGTTGATGCTGTTGTTGTTGTTGCTGATGCTGCTGCTGCATTTGGGCATGGGCTTGTGTCAGATTTGTTGCCTGTTCCGCAGCATCAACATCGATGCTGCGCTCCCGTATGTGATTATTGTTGGTTTCATAGGGTTTAAAACTGCATTTGACAGGTTGGGGCTGGAGCGGTTGCTGTGGATGATGTTGCTGGTGTTGTTGCTGCGCTGGCTGGTGCTGCAGTTGCTGTTCTGCCGAACCGGTCGAGACGGAAGAATGACTACTGAGGGGCGATGATTTATCACGATTATCCAACGACGAAGCCGATGAGGATTTGTGGGCTTTGGTTGCTTTTTCAATATTTGCTGCCAGCAATTTGGGATTTGTTGTGTCGGCACCAATTGCGCTGCATGTCTGCGCCAGCAGGGCCAGTGGACTGCTTTTCGTGTCGATCTGAAATGGAAGAGAAAAGGAAGGAAGTTTTTTGGTATTAAATGAATTTTAAACCAGTAAGGAAAAGCTAATTCAGGAGGGGGCGACCATATGGTACCCTACATACCCCACACCACTATGCATAGTTAGTAGGGCTCCCGTAACAAAAGAATATATTTGGCTTTAGATTGCATTATTTAATTCTACCTTTAACACCTTCTCCTTCGTCTGAAAATCATCCAAAAATATTTTCCGTAAATTCATTTCATTTTTTTTCTTAGCCCCATTTAATGACAGAAACTTCCAATTTACCGAACCTCCCGCTATAAATCTTTCAAACTCTCTCATCCTCTCTGTATGCGACACCCGTTGAAAGCAAATAATTCACAAGACAGAAAAGATGTTAATTTCACAGCCCTTCATTTTTATTACAACCACTTTACTTGAGATAAGATTCATGTACAATTTTCGTCCTGGTTATTCGGGTTTATCTTCTTCGTAAATATAAAATATTTGTTTCGGTAAAAAATAATTCCAGCGTGTGTACTTGAATGCGAGTCATAAAAATGTTATCCATATCTCAGCTGAAGTTGTAACTCATTTAATGTGTATAATTTGACTTAATGGTCTGGTGTTGCGAATTTTTATTACCCTTAAGTACCGAGCGAGAATGTCATTGGCCCCCAGCCTTCAAACCAAGCAACCAACCAACATTACCATCAATTCACACATAACACCCCATAAAACCACTTTGTATTTGTTTGGGATACAACCTACACAGCTCACAGTCCCATTTGATTCCCATTTCTCAAGAAAGAAAGAAAATTCTCCCAACTCTCTTATGCCCCCCCCCCCCCCTCTCGATAAAGACAATTTTGTTTATCAGCCTGCTTATGGTATTCAGCTTTCAATATTTTATGTTTTTATTTGTTTGTTAATTTATGATGTAATTATTTTATTCTTTCGTTTGTTCACTTAACGCCATCTTCGCCTTCTGCCTCAGCTCCTTCTCCAGCTCCAGGCATATGGTGCAGATACCAAGGAATATTTATGCGAATTTATAGATTGTATATTTATGGATAAGTCTGGAATATTTATGACTTAATACCTCGTTTAGTTATGTTTCGCTGGTGGGGAGGGGAGTTGCTTTAACTGCTTTCTTCCGGCCATGTGGCAATAAATATTTGGAAAACATTCATAAATGTTTTGCTATATCGATATTCTTATATCTTAATGGCATTTTATGACTTGAAGTGCTGTAGAGTTCCAGATATATTTCTCTAAGTGGGGTGATTACGATTTTCGAAAATGAAGAACGCGGGAGAGTTACAGTTTCATGCTCTTAATTGGTAATTACTAAAGAAACTTCAAAAACTTGCAGTAGAGGAATTTTTAAGGAATATTTTTTCAAGGACCGATAGAAGTTTAAAGAAAATTTTTTCAGGTATTTTTAAGGAATATTTTTTCAAGGACCGATATACCAAAAACCCTGGAAGTTTAAAGAATATTTTTTCAAAGACAGTTATATTTTAGGTATTTTTAAGGAATATTTTTTTAAGGACCGATAAACCAATAACCCTGGGAATTTAAAGAATATTTTTTTCAAAGACGGGTATACCAATAAATTTGGATGTTTTAGGAAATTCTCTTCAAGGACCAATGGAGCAATAAACATTAATTTTTAAGGAATGTTTTTCCAATGACCAACAGCAATAGACGTATATTTTCATGGAATATTTATTCTAGGGCCTATAGATCAATTCGCACGAATTTTGAAATAATATTGTTTCAAGGATTATCAGATCAATAAATTTGGATGGTTAAAGAATATCTTTTTAAGGACGAATTTTTAAAGTTTGTTTTTTTCAAGGACCAACTCAACAACAAATCAAGAAATATGTTTTTAAAGGCAGTTTTTCAAGGACCAATTGCCCAAAAGCATTTTTCCAAGGACCCAAAAGGCCTCCAAGATTAAAATTAGGGTATATTAACTTTGTTATTCCGTTTGTAACATGCCTAAACATCCGGCAAATATTGAAAAATGAGCTCGAGCTAAAGCCATTGAAATCCCCAAAAGTGCAAGAACTTACACTGCAACAGAAAGAAAATAGACTTAAAAGAGCTAAAGAGTTGCTTCACTTGGTCGAAAGTGGTGAACTGCCGAATTTGGTTTTCTGCGTCGAGAAAACATCTGTTTGTCCAGCAGTTTGTAAACAAACAAAATGATCGTGTTTACTTGCCTAAGAGGTCTGCTGAAAATGTGCACCTTCGGTTGGCAACCAGAACTCAAGCGCCGGCCATGGTGATGGTGTGGGCCGCCATAACAGCCGGTGGTCGCTCTCCTCTCGTTTTAATCGACCGTGACATCAAAACAAAAGCCGAATATTATTGCGAAAATATTCTGGAGGGTGTATTAAAGCCTTGGGCACGCAAACATGTTGGCCGCAGACCTTGGGCATTCCAACAGGACTCAGCACCATTGCACTCAGCACGCGCCTCCCAAGAATGGTAACCAAATGAGGTTCCTCGCTTCATTTCCAGCGGGAAATGGCCAGAAAAATCTCCGGATACCAATCCGTTGGACTATGGTGTCTGGAGTATTTTGGAAAGCTAGGTTGGCACTAAAAAATGCCAATGTGTCGATCACTTCAAGCAAGCGCTTCGCCGGGAATGGAGCAAAATAGCGCAGAGCAACATTCGGGTAGCGTGTGACGGTTTCATTGGCCGTTTGAAGGCCATAATTCGTGCCAAAGATGACCAATTCGAACAAACTAAACTTATGCTAAAAGTTGATGCTATTTCCGACATTTTTTGTTTGCTTTCAATAAAATTAAAACAAGTTCGGCCAGGCCGAACTTTGAATACCCTCCACCATTTGGAACAAATTGGGAAATTTTCAAAAAATAAAATCGTTAAAAAATTCTGTTAAAATTTTAAAATACCGAACATAGCCGTTATATTGGGGTCTATACGACGTGGACCTACATAGCCATTCTTTGTCATAAGCCATTACCATATTCAAATTCGAAACTTGAAATAAACGGTGAAGCTAAAATCATCAAAATATGGCATATAGGGAGGTACCGTTATATGGGAGCTATACGAAGACCTGGACTAGCATAGACAATTTTCGGTCACAGGCTGTAGCATCCAATACGAACTTCAAATACGACAACTCAAACAATTTCGGTGGGTATTGTACCTAAAATCGTCAAAATACCGAATATAGGTATGGGACCTATACGAAGACGTGGACCTGCACAGACAATTTTCTGTCATAGGCTGTAGTATCCTCTACGAACTTCAAATACCAAATTTGAAAGAATTCCGGTGAATAATGTCGCTAAAATTATCAAAATACCGCATATTGGGAGGTACCGTTGTATAGGGGCTATATGAAAACGTGGACCTACATGGCCCATTTACGATCTTAACTTGCCTACTGGAAAAAGAAACATGTGTGCAAAATTAATTTTTAATTAAAATTTTGTCCAAAACTGATTAGAAAATCAAAAACGAAATTCGTTGCGAAACTCCTGTGTTTTTTCCGACCAAGCCTTTCAAATATCGATTACTTTCACATAATTTGTATTTCGGCTTGAACAGATTATTTTTTTGAATTACGAAAAAAATTGATTATATTGGATAGCCCGATTCGTATTTTTTTTTTTTTTTTTGAAAGTTGTGCATTTTTGCTGGCTAATATAACCCATTTTCAAACTCGATCTGAGTTTGATCTTGGTCAAATTGTATACTCCCTCATAGAGTTATCGGTGAGCATTGATAGATCAACTAAAAATATATTTCATTTTGAGATACATGGGATCTTAAATTATTGTTATGATGAGGTAAGTTTCGGTCCAAACATACAGTATATATCCCCAAAATTTTACACATCACCTCATAATACGCTCAATAGAGCCTTTTTAAAATATGGAAGATTTTCAATTCCTACTTAGGATATATTAAAAATTTTTAGTTTTCGTTTTTTTTATATTTTCTTTTTAGGCCTTAAGTTAGGTCAAGATTATCTCACACATGCGTATATTTTTAAAAAACAAGTATACAAAATATTTCCCCATTTATGAACGCCTCTCTATCTACACTCGCTCGTTTTCTAAAACGATTGTCTCCATTGGTGTATAACTAAATTACTGATTTGAAGATTATGCCACTTGGCAAAAGAAACATTTACGACAGGCCAAACCTATTATAATTTATATGGCATTGAAGTTTTTATGGTACTCTCAATGGTTGGCTATAAATTAAATGGTCGGATAGTTTAATAAATATTGCAAAATACACAAACACATACACAATATGTGTGTATATGAAATTTATATGGCTTATCATGCCATTGTATATCACCGAACCCAATAAATATACCACTCATAAGTATGGGGTTGTAAATTTTTCACTGGGTTTATGACCTCTTCTCGTTTAGAAAGCTTTTTGTTGTTTTGTTCTATTAATTCTGCGCTTTGTGTTTCTTTTTGTTGCCAGTGTATTTTAGTAATGGTTGCCGCTGTTGCTTTTATGCCGACAAAGGCAATGGGTTATTAGTAACAGTATTTATTTATTGCTTGGCAATATAAGCCAGCGGTGAAGAGTTATGATTTATTGTTGGAAAAAAAAAATTGTAAAAAATATTTACTTCAACAAGTGTTGATAAGAAGGTTGGACATGGGGGGTATTGCAAACCGGGAGTCATTTGGAAGAAATGTGAGGAACATTTCCAATAAAATTTATATAAATAATTACAAAAGAAAAACCAGTATAGAAAGTCCTAAAGTCGGGCGGGGCCGATTTTATGATATCCTACACCACATTGCTAATTTAGTAGAGCTCCACATAACAATTAAAAGTTTTTATGGGAGAATTCAATCATACACGCTATGATTATAATTATAATTTAAAGTTCAAAGGACTAAATATGCCGAAGCATTTGCATCTTTTAAATTCGGACTTGAAATCAGATAAAGATATATATGGAAGCTATATCCAAATCTGAACCGATCTCG